CTAGTTCGAAGTCGCCTGCCATAGTAGTTATCATAATTCCCAACATCATACAGTGAACGTGGTACATTCTCAAACCTTTCGCCGGCATCATCAGTGAGTTTTGCCATTCTCCGCACTAAGCTACGAACTCGTCAAAGGATCGAATTCACTTGTATCTTTGATGAATTCGTAGCTTAGTGCTGAGAATGGCAAAACTCACTGATGATGCCGACTACGATGCCAGCGAAGCGTTTTGAGAATGGACCAAGTCAACTGTCTGATGCTGGGAATTATGATAACTACTGTGGCAGACTTCGGACGAGGTGCGCTTTACTGTCACCCTGACAACAAGACCAAGTTTCGACAACGAGGTCAACCAACTTCTATAAGGCAGATTACCTTCCTTCATGTATCGGTTTCGTAGTTAAAGTTGGTCTAATAATATAATCTGAGGCGAAGGATATATTTATGAGAGGTATAAAGACCAAGATAGTGTGGCCCTTTGTATGGTCGCAGTCTCATTTTATTGTATAGAAGTTGTTTGACCAAGTTGCGAAAATAAGGTCAAACAACTTGCATATTTGTGATAGTTCAAAGTCTAGAGGTAAACAGATATGCATTACTTACCAAAAGAGAAGAGGTGCTGGCCGATAGAGAAGCTAACGAGGCAACATCCATCTGGTGATGGGCTGACTGGTTACTAGCAGAGCTTCCACCAGTCCCGGAACCAGTGGCGCATACAAGAGGACTCGAACTGCTGGGAATTGAAGAGATACTACCAGCGCCCAAACCTCCGCGCCGGCGTTGGAGGCCGGTGGTGGACAATGGCTCATCGGGCCCCGTCCCGAAATCGCTTATATTCAAAACTGAAATCGAGTCGGCCTAGGAGAGTAGGGAAAATAATTTAAACTGATAAAAACCAACTCAGATATAGCATACGGACAAAATATTCTGGTACACAAAAAGAATTAAATTACTTTTATGGGAAACTAAGACCTTCAGATAAATCAGCCCATTTAAGAAAGTTGGAAAAGTTAAGATGTAGGATAGGCTTTAGCCAAAATACAACTTCCCAGGTGAATGATAATCAAAGCTCATTTAATTATCAGAAAATAGATAGGAATCATAAAGACAAGGGATTTTGAGGTGTAGCTTAATATGCGTAAAATTTGCTAAGGCATAAGAAAAAAATAAACGATTCCCAGCTCGTATAATAAGTCAGAATCCATACTTAATTAACATAAGATAGACAAAACAAGAACTAGAATTAAATAATATATAAAATCCCCAAAATAAAACGTATAGTAGGCGATTCATAGAAATCCTAACGGAAAACATGTCAATG